TTACTTAATTTTCTAGTTTTTTCCAGTGATTGTTGTTTGTTTGTATTTGTTGGTTGTTTCCGATGATCATAATAATAATAAAAATTTGTGTGCTGGTTTTCCATTTGGGACCTAAATTATTCCTCCCCCCGAAAAATGAAAAATAAATTTTATTGGATATTACTATATATAGTTTCAATGTTTGTGCGTTTTCTTTCTTCTACATTTGGTAATTTTACCGTTTAATATGTATCATGTAACAACTAATTTACATCAATTAGATTGATAGGTCAAATTTCAAGCCAATCGTTCAAGATTAAACAAGATGGCTGATCATCAACTATTATGAATGGACCTTTTTATAATTAACATCAAGTGAAACACCACGAGGATTTTTCTTTCCGTTTTTAATTTCTCTTTTTATAGCAAACAAAGATACAAAAAATACGTGTAGGATGGAAGGTTCGTAACAAAGACTTTCTCTCTTTTAATAATTTTCTTATTTTAATAATACCATTTATCTACTCTTTGTCTACACCACCTATTCAACTCTATCTTTTAGCATAACCATTTCCAGTAAAATTATATTATTAAAACCAGGTTTGGTCGAAGAATTTTGTATGTTCCTATTCAGAAAACAATCAGTAAACGAATGACAGAAACCCGAGAACAATACATATTAATATTAATATGTTTAACGGATAATATTTTCTTGGACTATTTCCTATTAAATAAATAAATAAACAAATGTTTTAAAACTATTATTTGCCTACTTTACATTGTATTATATTGTGTATAAATCATCAATCTTCTTGATCTTACTTCACCTTTTAACTAATAGAAAGCATATTTAAGAAAAATATATCTATTTTATAACAAGTTTTTAATCACGTTTACTATAGCCAACTTTTAATATTAATCAATCGAGAATACAACGTGATAACGGATGCCCACTATATTTAGATCAATAATATTATTGTTGTTATTATAAGGGATAAAATGTCATATAAGAAACGAGAATAAGTTAATTACACCAGTGCCCATGAACTATAATATGCAAACGATCATAAGCTGACTATTCTGCTAGTACCTGTGACCAGGGTTGATTACACCAGTGCCTATGAGCCATATAAGAATGATCATTTGGTGGGAAGAATTATTATCATTAAAATATCAATGATTTGATTAATTCAATACAAAAATATTAATATGTAATGATAACGAAATTCGATCCGAATCACCAGTGTTGATTCATTTCATTTGAATCGGGCACTAATCTGATTCAAATCAATTTATACTGTCTAATCTATTTAAAGTTATTTCAATAAATTGTAATTTGATTAGAATCTGATCAATATATATTAATATGTACATATGTAAATAGAAAAAAATGAAAATTTTATTATTATAATGGTTATTTGATAGTTAGGCCTTTTTAAGATTTGTATTACTTTATTTTGTTGCTATAAAAACAAATAAACGTAAACAAAGATTTACTTAATTCAAAAAAATGTCTTTTAATAAATTATCACAGGAAAGAATACAATTTGTGCGTAAAGCTTATTTTGAAATATTTAATAATGCTATGTCAATTGCACAAGATGTTTATAATAATAGTTCATCAAATTCATCAAATATATCTCCTATAAAAATTCGTAAGAATACATTTTTATCATTAGTAGATAGAGACAAAAAACTTTTACCAAATGAAAAAGAATATTGCAAGAAAAGATATACTTATGATGTCGAATTACAACATGCAATGCACAAAGATGGCATACAAATAGAATGTAAAAAATGTAATGCCACAAGATATTCAACTAAATTTTGTGAAAACTGCATTAGTCTTCATTTACAAAAATTTTACAATACTTGGACTTCAGGAAATAAAGCTGTTGATAATTTTATTCAAAAATGCCAAAAACTCTCAGCTCTTCCAAAAAATATAATGGAATGGATTACATTCGATCAATTTGAAGATTTGGAATATTTATCTAAGGGAGGATTTAGTAGTATTTACAAGGCAACATGGACAAGAGGATATATAGATGATTTTGATGAAAATAAAAATGAATTAAGTCGTCGTGGGGCACAACATGTAGTATTAAAATGTTTAGATGATTCAAATACTATTGGAAATAAATTTTTTGATGAGGCTAGTAGTAATTTCATTTAAAACAAAATAAATAATTTGTATAATATTAAATTAATTGATTTTGTTTATATTTCCAGGCATTGAATTATTGTAAAATTAAAACAGATATGATTATTAATTGCTATGGTATAACTAAATTTCCCAATGGAAATTACGCAATGGTTCTAAGTTATAGGCCAGAAGGTGATTTGAGAAATTATTTACGAAAGAACCATTCAAGATTAACTTTAAAAGATAGAATTACACTTTTTAGATATTTATGTAATTCATTATATTATATACATGAAAATGATTTAATACATTGTGATTTACATAGTGGTAATATACTAGTAGATGCAGGTAATTGTTTTATTACAGATTTAGGGTTATGTGGACCAGTTGATGATAAATCATCAAATGAACTTTGTGGGATCATACCATATATTGCACCTGAAGTTTTTAATGGGAAAAAAAATACAAAAGAATCAGATATTTATAGCATTGGAATGTTAATGTGGGAAATATTTGCTGGTCATCCACCATTTGATAATAGAGCTCATAATTCAGATTTATGTTTAGATATTTGTGATGGATTAAGACCAGAAAATTTGCCAGGCATGTCAGAAGATTATAAACAAATGATGCAAAGGTGTTGGGATGGTGATCCATCTAAAAGACCAACTATCGGAGAACTTTGGAAGTTTGCTAGCGAATATTTAATAAAAGTTTGTAAAAATAATAGTTGTGGTGTTAGTAGTGGTGGTAATAATGATAATATCAAAAAAATAATCAAATTTGTCAAATTTCCAAAAAGAAAAAAACCAACACCTAATGACAATAATGATAATTCTATCGATGATAGTAATTTACAATCGGAAAAATATGAAAAACATCCACAAGCATATCATACAAGTAGAAGACTCAGTGTCATTAATTCTAGTTATGGAACAATATACGATCCTAGTATTCCATTAATATTTGAACAAAGTACAGAAATCAATATTATTACTGATTGATTGATCGTAAATATTTATTATTTAAATAATAATTTTTTTTCAATTCATGAAGATATAGAAAATGTCATTGTAAGCAATGAACTTGAAAGGTAAATGAAAGCTGACGATGAAATTAAAATAATTGAATAACTATCTATAATTTTATAATTATTATTTTTTAAATCTTATTATTAAATATGATGCGTGTGAATTTTAAATTTGTGTACTTTTTAGAATTATTTAAACTTTTGATTGGCTAGTTTAATTTTCACTCAAAAATAAAAATAAAAATAAAAGTAAAAATTTCAAATGGATAAAACAAACAAAAATCATTTCTTAAAACAAAATGTCATTTTCTTTCTTGTATAAAATGGTTTTTTTTTGTGTTGATTGATATTAATCCTTGACTAACGAAAAAATTTTATGAGATTCCTTTTAATAATTAAATTAATTATAGTGACAGTCATAGACATAATAATAAAATAATCAATGAGTTTAAATTTCAAAAATAGCAAACTTCAAATAATATTTATTATAATATTTATTATTAATAATGCATTTTCTGATTATAGTGCAACACGTTATGCAGCTGTTAGTGTAGTGGTGGATAATAAACTTTACACTCTTGGAGGTATAAGCTTAGAAAAGGCAGTAATTACAACAGATTCATTTTTTTATGTGGATTTAACTAAAAATTTTGATGTTACAAATATACCATGGGTAGAAAATGACAAACTACCTATAGGAAATGCTTGGTCTGTAGGTGTAATTGGTGGATCAAATAAATCAACAATTTTTTTATTTGGTGGAATTATGGTAAATCAAATTAGTGATAGTTATGATTTCACCAACTTGCTTTATGCATATGATGTAAATACAAAAGTTTGGAGTACTCCAAAAACAACTGGTACTGCACCTATGATTAATCGTAGAGAAAGTAGTGCTGTTGCAGATGATAAAGGAAAAATGTATATTTTTGGTGGATTAGCAGATAAACCTACTGGATCTCCTACCTTTCAAAGCTTTAATGATATGTATATTTTGAATACAGTAGACCTGACTTGGAGTTTAGTCTCTGGAACTACCAACCCACCATTGGCAACTTATGATCATACAACAACTTTATTGCCTGATGGTAGAATTGTAATTATTGGTGGAAGAGAGAGGAATGGAGGACCTTCAATTCCGGTTGACATGTATAGAGTATGCATTTATTTTATAGATTTTGTATAGAAAATATTGATTATGAAATAAAATATTAATATATTCATTTTATAGATAAAAATTTTTGATACAAGTAATTCAACTTGGACAATTATGGTAAATATTTAATCAATTAAAATATAAAGTTTACTAGATTCTTTATGAAAAAAAAACAATTTATTTCAAATTTTCTTACACCTTGTTGAAAATTTTAGATAGCAAGTGGACCATCACAAATCCAATCTCGAAATGGTCATTCAGCTGTACTTTGTAATAAATTTTTAATTTAAAATTTTTTAGAATTTTTTTAAAAAACATACTAAAATTATATATATTGCATAGCAAAGGATGGAAGGATAATTGTTTATGGTGGTAGTGGATGGCCTGTAGAATCCACTTCATTTCCTGAACTTCTGGTGCTAAATACAACCACAAATCCTTTTCAATGGTCAGCACCTAATTTTTCAAATGTTAATCGTGCCCTACCTGTAACACGCCATTCAGCTAATTTAATTGGAGATCAAATGATAATAAGTTTTGGTATATTTTTACTTTTTAAAATTTTTTTGTTTTTTCAACTTTGAAGTTAATTAATAATTAATTAATTAATTACATACATATATAGGAAATGTTACAAATAATGTTTCAGGTCCAAAATCATCTACTGCAAAAACTTATATACTTGATATTAAAGATTTTACTTGGAAGGAAAGTTATTCAGTACCTGCAGCACTATCACCAGGATCAGATACATCATTAAACACTTTTCAAATATTAATAATAGTAATTGCAATTTTAGTTGGAGTAATATTAGTTGGAATAGCAACATTCATGTCAACTCCACCAAGATATTTTTTTAATTTATTAAATTATTCTAACATCCCCTAAATTTATTGTTTTATATTAAAGTATAAGTATTTAAAATAAATCATTTAATAAAAAGTGGTTATTGCAACTTTTTCAAAGAAAGTTTAGAGGGTGATAATAAAAGATTATAATAATTTAAAAGATCTTGAAAAGAAACCAACCCATCTCCAATTACCTAATTACCGCAGATTATTAAAGGCCGTGGTTTCATAATGCTGTGATTGTTTGTGATGTATATTGGTTAATCAATAAGTTGTAAATTGATTAATCTGCGTGACTGACTGAATCATTAAACTATAAATCGGACATCGTTTGTTAAAGCTTTTATTGTTAAGGATGCATAAAAGAGATCTACATAAAAATTTCCGACATGAAAAAATTTGTTATACTAGAGTCAGCTGGCAGAAAAACCTTAGTATTAGGACTTGTAAAATTTTTTGTTAAAAAATTTTATAAATCATTATTTTTTAGTGAATGTATGATAAAAAATTTAAACTAAATCATTCAATTGGGCTAAAACGGGAATGTAGTATTATCCAAGTCATCAGATGAAATAGATTCAATAGTTGTATTATTACCTAATAATACACTATTGTTATTATTATTATTATTATTCTCTTGATTCGTTGTCATTATTATTATTCAATGGTTGTCTTCTCCTTCAACAATATAATCATAAAGAGTATAGTGCCCCAATATCTGGCGAAGGTGCAACATCAGGGTAACCATATTGGTATTTTTCTTTTCGGAAATTAAATAAAAAATTAAAAAACAATTGGATGTAATTAATTATGGAGCTTTAAAATCATTATTCTTTTTTTGTAGTGCTTATAGCAACAGATATTCTGGTTCGTTAAACCTACTTCTTTATCTTCAATAGACAGATTTGGTTTTTTCTAAAATAAATAAATACAGTCAAACCTCGTTTCAGCGAATATAAGAAATTCCAAGATTCGTTATTACTAATCAGCGTTTCAACGAACTTTTTTATATGTTTTCAAAAATTTTGTTGCAACTCTAATCTATTTCATTGAAACGAGGTAGTCAAAACCTCATCTAATCAAAATAATCTGCCTATCATTATTAGCTACTTCTTTCATCTTTTGACCTTCCCATACCTACTGTTATTATTACCATTGTTGTTATTATTTTTAATGGTGTCGGTATCACTCATGATATTTGTGATGTGATTTAATCACAATAGAATATTATCACTGTTCATGTGATCTGTTAAGAACAAACATGGTAATGGTTCTATGCCATACCATTATTATTGTCGGTGCTGGCTGATATTTGTGTTAGCGTTGGTAATAATTTAGGAAATTCCAATGAATTTCTCAACGTCAATATGACTTATGAGGATAATGTAAGGCAAGTATTTCGAATTTCTATGTTGTAAAAAGCAACATATCTGTAGATAGAGCCTTTTATGTATTAATACAGTACATTATAAATATTAGATGTTATACTATACGTACACTAAAATAAAATAAAAATTATAATTATTCAATCATGAAAGAAAAAAGCACCCATAAAGAAGCATTAATTACTGAGGGGACAAGAGATGTGTAAAGATTTTGAGTAATCAGCCTTTCAAATTAACTGGGCAAAAACCACCTCCGAGATATCACCTATTTTTAAATTTTATACAAAAATTCGTTAACAACATGTAGAAGATCCATTTGAAGATATTCTTTGTCTAGAACCTTTTTTATTTAATGTAAAAATTTTAAAGAAGTACCCAGAGTACGATAAGCAAACAGGGTCTAATAATATCTTCACCAAATATAAATCTACATGTTGGATAGTATGAAAAACACAAGTTTGGTCAAAAGATCTCGGATCTGGAAACAGACCCAACCGAGGTTAATAATTCTAAATTTATACTCATTATTTACTTGCGCCCAGTTGTTTATAAATCAATAAATATTTGTATAAATATTTGCTTTTTTGTATTCATTTAAATAAAATAAAAATCAATGAAATCCCCTTTGATAAACATTTTTCCAATAATTAATTATAGTAAATAGTAATATTACATAATTGAAGATAAAAATAATTAATCAATGGGCTTGAATTTCAAAAATAGCAAACTTCAATTAATATTTATTATAATATTTATTATCAATAATGCATTTTCTGATTATAGTGCAACACGTTATGCAGCTGTTAGTGTAGTGGTGGATAACAAACTTTACACTCTTGGAGGTATAAGCTTAGAAAAGACAATAACTACAACAGATTCATTTTTTTATGTGGATTTAACTAAAGATTTTGATGTTACAAATGTACCATGGGTAGAAAATGACAAATTACCTATAGGTATTTCATGGTCTGTAGGTGTAGTTGGTGGATCAAATAAATCAGCAATTTTTTTATTTGGTGGAGCTATGAGAAATCAAATTACTGGAGATCATGATTTCACCAACTTGCTTTATGCATATGATGTAAATACAAAAGTTTGGAATGTTCCAAAAATAACTGGTATTGCACCCATTAATCGTAGAGAAAGTAGTGCTGTTGTAGATGATAAAGGAAAAATGTATATTTTTGGTGGAGGAGCAGATAGCAATACTGGATATTCTACCTCTCAAAGCTTTAATGATATGTATATTTTGAACACAGTAGACCTGACTTGGAGTTTAGTCTCTGCAACTAACCCACCATTGGCAACTTATGATCATACATCAATTTTATTACCTGATGGTAGAATTGTAATTATTGGTGGAAGAGGGGAAGAAGCTTCAAATATGGTTAATATGTATAAAGTATGCATTTATTTTACACATCTGTATCATAAAGTAAAATAATATCTGCATGTTAATAAATTCATTTTATAGATAAAAATTTTTGATACAAATAGTTCAACTTGGTCAATTATGGTAAATATTTAATCAATTGTTTACAAGATTCTTTATAAAAAAAAAACAATTAATTTCAAATTTTCTTACACTTCGATGAAAATTTTAGATGGCACATGGTCCATTAGATATCCAACCTCGAAATGGTCATTCAGCTGTACTTTGTAATCAATTTTTAATTTAAAATTTTTTAGAATCCACTTCATTTCCTGAACTTTTGGTACTAGATACAACCACAAATCCTTTTCAATGGTCAGCACCTAATTTTTCAAATGTTAATCATGCCCTACCTGTAACACACCATTCAGCTAATTTAATTGGAGATCAAA